AAAATACGAGTTCATAATCCATAATAATGCTTCCTCCAGTGAAAAAGTGCATCTCCTGTTGTCTCTCACATCAAAATCCAAACACATATTTGTTTAGAGCTGTTTTAGCTTGTAAACGGTGCTTGATCTGTGCAGATTTCTCTCCTGATTCAGACAAGATGAGTTTTTAAGCGTTATTATGGATTTTTGACTCATATTTTAACCAGAAGCAATGGCTTGAAGTTAAAAAACCTCTTAATGATGGATTTTTTTCAATCACATAACATTTGTCTTCTCCAGATGTTAACTGATGGACTGGAGTGGTGTGGATAACTTGTGGATTATTGTGATGTTTTTATCAGCTGTTTGGACTCTCGTTCTGACGGCACCCATTCACTGCAGAGCATCCATTGCTGAGACACTGATGCAATGCTACATTTCTCCAAATCTGATGAAGAAACAAACAAATCTAGATCTTGGATGACCTGAGGGTGAGCACATTTTCAGCAAATCTTCATTTTTGGGTGAACTACTCCTTACTGTTAAGCATCATCTAATATGACACTGAAGACTGGAGTAATGATGCTGAAAATTCAGCTTTGATCACAGCAATAAATTACATTTTACAATATATTCACATAGAAACTTATTTTCTTAATATGAATATTTCACAATATTACTGTTCTCACTGTATTTCGATCAAATAAATGTATAGCCTTGGTAAGCAATAGGATACTTATTTCAAAAACATTTTAAAAATCTTACCAATCCCAGACTTTTAAAGATGTTTTTACTTCTTTATAAGGGAAACACACCATCTATTAAAGCGGGCGAGTGCACACACTCCCTCCACAGGAGATAATTACACTGCAGTATTATTCACTGCAAGTTATAATTTACATATTTATTTCTGAAATTACTTCTTATATTAGATCTTTGAAGACAATGAGCAGATGAGACCCACACATGAGGTGTATGTACTTCACAACGGCGTCATGTGAAGCGTCACAAATGAGATTAAGTAACACAAGATGAAGATGTCACGTGTAAATCTTCTAGGTAAGCGTGTGTGTTCATGAAATGTGTGCTCTTAGACGAGCCATCTGCTCATTTGAAATGAGTCTCGTTAGACCCTCAACAATCTGGTTGAGAACACAGAGGTGCAGAAACACACACACACACACACACACACACACACATCATAATGGAGACATACAGTATCAATCAAATGTTTTTAAAATGTTTTTGAAATAATTCTTATGTTCACCAAGGCTGAATTTATTTGATCAATAATACAGAAAAAATAGCAATATTTAAAACATATTTTTACATTTTAATATAACTGTTTTCTTTGTGAATATTATAAAAAGTAATTTATTGCTGTGATCAAAAGCTGAATTTTCAGCATCATTACTCCAGTCTTCAGTGTCACATGATCTTCAGAAATCATTCTAATATTCTGCTGCTCAAGAAACATTTCTGAGTATTATCAATGTCGAAAGCAGTTGTGCTGCCCAATATTTTTGTAGAAACTGTGATACATTTATTTTTTCAGGATTCACAGATGAACAGAAAGTTCAAAATTTGAAATGTAAATCTTTACTGTCACTTTTGACCAATTGAATGCATCCTTGATAAATAAAAGCATTAATTTCTTTAATTTAATTTTACTTCTGACCCAGCCTTTTGAACACTCACATCTTGAGGAATTGCATTTTACCAGATATTTTGAAATATAAGAGCTTGATGAAAACATCCCGAGACTTTAAGAGCTCAAAACTTCTTCTCCAGTCCAAAAAGTGCATTTATGGCATCTAGAAACGACTCTGAACTTCCGCAGCTTTCTGGCATTACAAAGATGAACATCAACGCAAGACCATCCACATTCACACATCAGCACATCATCAAACCCAAACACTTCTTATTTGTTTGGAGATTTCTCCTTTACTCAAGATAATCAGTTTTCAGTGAGTAAGTGTAGTGGACAAGAGAATCGTGTCCATCCATGTACCCAGACAGATGTAGGACCCAGCAGGAGCTTCAGCCCATGAAGGACTGCAGCAGGAGGCTGAGCGAACCCTCAGACGAGACCGTGCTTGTCTTGTGTTCGTAAAAATAGACTCGATTAGGACTCGATTTCCAAAGACCCTTGAACCGACTCTCCAAATCATTACGGTGCTACACACACACACACACTCACACACACACACACACACACACACACACACACCTCATCCAGGAAATACGGTCCTGCCAGAACTCATAGATGATGTAGCAGCTCTTCTCGGGAAGCTTCTGGATGGAAACACTGAACGAGAGAAACAGACAGACCAAGAATCAGTGCATCAGCGTTGGAGAGAACATTCTGGTACTAAAACTAGTCATTAGTCTTCCCTTATGAAAAGATGTTTATTCAAGTGTGCTATTAGTATGCTTCTTTTAAACTAAAAATAGGAAAGTGTCCTTTCAGTCTACTTTTTATGTACTTCTCAGAAATGTGCTTTATGCACTTCTCAGAAATATACTTAAAATGACATTTAAGTATACTTGACTTATACTTAAAAAAGTCTAAATATATTTGAGCTATAGCTACTTGTGCTCCGGGAATCCATGTTTTCATTGTTGTATGGTAGGGGGCGCTATTATACATCTTCTGTACAGAAACAAGCCAAGAAGAAACCGAATCCACATGTAATGTCACACGATCAGACATAAAACAGCATCAAAACTGTGCAACGTTATGGAATAAAATGTTAACCCATTACGAAAAAGAAGTTTATTCAAGTGTGCTATTAGTATACTTCTTTTAAACTAAAAAAATAGGAAAGTATACTTTCAGTCTACTTGTTATGTACTTCTCAGAAATATACTTAAAATTACACTTGACACAAAAAGTCTAAATATATTTGAGCTATAGCTACTTGTGCTCCGGGAATCCATGTTTTCATTGTTGTACGGTAGGGGGCGCTATTACACATCTTCTGTACAGAAACAAGCCAAGAAGAAACCGAAACAACAGATGCTTCCGCATGTAATGTCACAGGATCAGACATAAAACAGCATCAAAACTGTGCAACGTTATGGAATAAAATGTTAACCCATGAAGAGGTAATAACTGTCAAGCTTTGGGGTGTTGATCGACCTCATCTACATTTTGATTATCATTCTGAATCCAATTCATAGTCTTTTTTCAGCTTTTTGACTACATAAAGTATACTTAAAAATATACTTGAACTTTACTTAAGTATACTTAATAAAATAAACTTGAAGTATACTTCTTTTTGGAAAGGGTTTATAGTCTCCAAATTTGCATTTTGGGTTTCATCACACAGTCAGCTATGGGAATATTAACTCTATAAAGCCTAATATTTGATACACACATTTCTAAGGCCTCTAAATGATCAACATGATGCTGTTAAACCTGTTTCACACACAATCTCCTCCATGCCTTCTGTCGTCTGATTGATAGTTTAGATGATCAAGTAAAAGCTCTTTTAGTGTAATTGTACAAACGTCCACCATCAGCTCGTGCTTTATGTCTCAAATCTTGACTGATTTTGATCAAGTAAAGGCAGCTCTCAATCAGCATTGCATTATATGTTTGGATCATTTCAATCTAATTTTACATATTATTGGAGATATAGAGTGACCACTGATATTTATTATATAATTTATGTCAGTATCTGCTGAACTGTTATATAGATCTCATTCATTTACATCACAAGCATCAGAATTTCTTACTTTTTGTCCATACAAATATCAGCATCTGCACCAAATTGCATATTTATATATATTACAAACTGCAAATTGCTTATTCTGAGTCTCTGAATAAAACGGAGCAGTTTTTTTTCCCTCCATATTCTCACTATGAGCCATACAAGCCTGATATATAAAATATGAATCTCAACAAAAACAACATATTTTTTTTTTATTTTGTCTTCAATAAACTGTTCTATTTCAAAAACGTATTTTTTTTTCTGACTATGTCAGGCTTTACATGATGAAGGTCATTATATATAAATAACTTCATCATTTGGTGGTGTGTTTTTCTCACTGGAGGTTGTCGTTCTGATTGGCGGTGGTGTCGGCGTAGGTCTTCAGAGCCTTCTGGAACTCCTCGAGATCATTCTCTGTCACGCTCAGCTGTCTCTGCACCAGCAGAATGTTCTAGACGAGAGCAGAAAGAAACACAGCCATGAGGTGACTACTGGAGAGAGAACGAATGCTATAGCTTGGGGTTTCATGCAGAACATGTGAGTGTTTCTGCTGGACATCCGAGCATTATGTAGAATCTGTCGTTATTCATTCACTCGTGTATGATGCAATGATTTTAGAATACAATGAAAGTGCATGACCTTGTGATAAAAGAAGTGTATTGAATGTGTGCTTGTAGTGCACTTCAAAACGTAAAAGTACGTTTAAAAAAAAAAAAAAACAACTTTCTTGTAGATAATATATTAATGAAATAAAAGGCCACTTAAATGTACTTAAAAAGAGAACACTTTCATGACTGGACTTTTAAAAGTACACTATGTAATAATGTCAAATTTAAAGTTTTACTTTGAGGTACATTTTAAGTCATTATGTTTTAATTCTCTTTTGTCATGCTTTAAAGAAGTACACTTATTTTGTTGTGTTTATGAAAATACTAAAGCACATGTAAAGTACTTAATTATAATTATCGTGTGTTCTTGGATAATACATTTAAAGAAATCTATTTTAAATGCACTAAATTTCATCATCATTACAAATGTGTAATTACAAATATATTTAAATACGTGATATACAAGTAAAAAAAAGACATTAAAGTATATTTTAGATTACCATAAATGCCTGTCAGTACATTCAGAAACCACGTTTCAAAGACAATAGAAGTAAAAAGATATACTTAAGTCCTGCTTGTGTCAAAAATCACTCTAAAGTCGTAATTATGATATGATACTCTCATTTAATTGTACTTAACATGCAGTTAAGTGTCTAAAACATTTTATTCAGTATTATGTATTTTATTTTCATAACAAGTACTCTTTTTAAATGTAAAGTGTACTTATTTTCCACAAGCTTCAAAAAGCACACAAAAGGTCCAGAAAGGCACAGCCGTCCATTATATGACTCATATGTGCTTTATTTGACAGGAACAGACTGAAAATGAAATTGCTATTCACTGATAAATTTCCCGTATTAACCGCTGAGACTGGATCAGTGATGTGAATGAATCATTCAGACAGATTCTGTGAACTGAAAAGATCTGACTCAAAAGATTCATTTTTTAGTTGAATGACTTAATCATGTTTTTCACAATTCTGCTGAACTTCAGCTGATCCTACACTTCTGTTCGCTCTTTGCATTCATCCACTATTGATTTTCTTTCAAAATGTTGTATTTTTCTTTATAACCGCATTTCTAAAAAAATTCCAGATTTCTCCTAATAGTCTTTTAACAAAGTTTAACATGGTGAATTCTTGCATTATGATGCATCAGATACAGGTTAAAACATAAAACATGGACTGGATTTATGAAGCGGCGGATCGGATCACTCACCGACTTGTACGTGCTGGCCAGTGTATCTTCTTTCAGCGGCTCCAACTTTGGACTCTAAAAATGAAAAGCAAATGAAAATTGGCTTAGAACATGATATATTAAAACACATGCTCAAGACAGAAAGATTATTCTGTGTGAGTGGATATTTCAGTGTATTCACCTGACACTCCAGTTTGTCGATGAGCTGCTGCAGTCTGTTGATCTGAGAGCACCAGTGCTCATCTGTATCTACGGTAACGCCTGAGACGCAACACACACCAGCACTCAGTACACAACTCCACTCATCACAAGCATGGTTATAACTGTTATGACGTATGCCCTCTTTTTTACAGACATGTCCTGGCCAGGATTTCTAAATTGCCTAAAATGTCTGGATTTTTGCTTTGTGTTTTCATACTTGCTGAATGCATTGACTGAAAAGTAGTTTAACCAGTAGCATGCAGGCATTGTACATAATCGACCAATCGTGGCAGGAGAGAATGAGAGATTCAACGATTCACTCAACCTGACTGAATCATTCAGTAACGAGACAAGTGGCTTTACGAGTGAATCATTAAATTATTCACTCAACTGATTCTTTCAACAACACTGAATCATTTAGAAAGGAAACACGTGTCTTTATGAGTGAGTCAATGAATTATTCATTCAGCCGGTTTGCTCAACAACACTGAATCAATCAGTAACAAAACAAGTGTCTTTAGGAGTGAGACACTGTATTATTCATTCAACTGATTCTTTCAACAACACTGAATCAATCAGAAACTAAACAAGTGGCTTTATGAGTAAGTCACTGAATCACTCATTCAACTGATTCTTTCAATAACACTGAATCATTCAGAAATGAAACAAGTGCTTTGAGTGAGTCACTGAGTCATTCATTCAACCAATTCACTCAACAACATTGACTCATTCCGTAATGAGACAAGTGGCTTTATGAGTGAGTCATTGAATTATTTATTCAACCAGATTCACTCTGAATCATTCAGTAATGAAACAAGTGTCTTTATGAGTGAGTCATTAAGTCATAGGCTGAACCATTCAAAAACGTTTTATTTGGAACTATTTTCGTTAGCGGAACAAAAACAGATAACTTGTAAGTTACTAAATACTAAATTATTGTTTACCTAACTGTACAATAAAAGCAATATATTCGCAATCTTGCTGAAGTGTAAATACCATTTTCCTCTTTTTTACACTTGTAAACAGCCGTGTTACATAAAATGTCATCCACAATTTTCTAGCATGGTCAAGTTAGCCCCAAAATGCCATAACTGTCATTCAGACAATTGTGAATGCTAATTCATGTGTTCTCCACGTAGTATAGACCTATGTAAAAATGACACAATGAAGAAGAGAACAAAGCATCTGAACTCCAGCTCAGCAAGAACTAAAGCCAGAGGAAAAACCTGTCAATCAAAAGTCTGTAATCCTGAAGCCAACACATCAAGAAATGATTCTTCTGTTTACAGGACTACGATAAACTGGGCTCTCGTTGCTGTTTATGGGAACCCGCTGAACTGTACAGGCAGCCGTGTTATGAAATATTCCTAATGGGGCTTTTCTGTTTGACAAATGGGAATTACAGTCGGGGAGAAATAACAGCAGAAATGTTCTTTCACTTATTGAGCGATTAGTAGCAAAAAAAACATATGCAAACATTTTCCTGTTGTTCCGTCGCATTAAGAGCTCTTCTGAGAATGTTTCTGTGACAGCTGCTTTGTGAGGAGGAGAATACCCTACGGATAAACAAGACAAATGTGCTTCATCATGAAGAAAACATTACATTACTTCTGCTGCTCTCTGTTCATCAGTTCTGTGTTTCTCCCTCTTTTTCTTTTTCTCGCTCTCAGAGATATTAAATGCTGAGACAGGTGAACATCCCTCAGCGAGCAAACACTGCACACTGCTGATAAAATAAAGGATCTTCAGTCATTCTTGCAGCACCTTCGGTTCACAGAACCTTCTTCATGCCAAGAGCTAAGAGAGATAGATAGATTTTCCTCTCATCTGAACTGTAAGAGGAATTCTCCTAAGGTGTCACTGGAACTCCTTTCTGAAACCTTTATTTTTAGGAGTGCAAGACAGAAGAAGTGTTGCGCTTACAGTGTGTGTGTGTGTGTGCGTTTGTGTGTGTGTGTGTGTGTGTGTGTGTATGTTTGTGTGTGTGCGCGTTGTGTTGTGTCTGTGTGTGTGTGTGTGTGTGTGTGTGTGTGTGTGAGTGTGTGTAACTCACGGAGTGGTGCTGCTCTGCACCTCCACAGCCTCCATTGCACACTGCAGAGACATCTGGAGCGACAGCAGCTGACTGGACGTCTCCCTCAACATGAAACGGGTCACAAACTGCCCCAGAACCGAGGAACCCTGGTACTCCTGCACGGGAAACACTCATCATCACGCTGAATTATCCGTCTGTAGACCTCATTTACGGCCTTCATTATTCAAAATCTCGCAGTATTTCCGTCATCAATGCACAACAAACACGATTAACCTGCTGCTAATGAAGAACACCAGCCACTGACTTTAGTGTGCACTCAGGAAACATCTTGACAAGTAATGACCGGTCTGAAAACTAAATTAATGACCACTTTATCCTGAACGAATGGAGATCGCCATGTGTCAGATACAATTACTGCCTTCGACACGGTGTAGAGAGAACTGAGAGAAGCAGGATCTCCATTACAGAGAACATCAGTCAAAGCTAGAGATCAGTGCCAGCACACAGAGACAGTGGATGCTGAGTCTTACTGTTTGCACTTTCTTGCTCACTTATAGTTTAAATGTGCACTTAAGTCACAAATTAAAATGTTGGACTATCAGTGCATTATATAACAAAATATTAAAGCTTTGTCATTTACAAAATATTAAATGTGGTGCAAAGCAACAGAACAGATACTCTTATTGTTATTTATCATTATGTACATACTATTATAATGTTTTTTTAATGTTTTGAAGTAGTTTTTAATTTTATATTTCAGTTTATTTTATTTTCAGTTTATTTTTTTAGTATTTTTATGTGCTTTTGCCATTATTTATTTATTTAAATATTACTTATTACTTATTAAAATGTAATTAATTTTATTGAGTTTTAGTTTTTATTTATTTTTAATTAGTAACTTATTTCAGTTATTTGAAAAGTAAACATTTAAAATTTTCTTTTAGTTTTTCTATCTAATATTTATATTTTATTTCATTTCAGCTTTATTTCAGTTAACAAAAATATTGTACTAGCTTTAGTTAACAACAATACCCCTGGCTGTTATATGATTTGATCTCATTCTGATCTTAGTTTACCTCCTTTGTCTTGTCCATCGCCTTTAGGACGGCGACATTGAGTTTCTCTAACGCTGACAGAACATCCAGGTATTCCCCAAGATGCTGGGAAAAGTAATCTGAAACAAGAAAGAGGATGAATTATAGATCAGAGACAAAATATGAGTCCCGTACTTTCTTCTGTGGATTTTTAGGCATACATTTGTGCATGTTTTTAGCTAATATTACCTACAAAAGTGGAATTTGTGTCGCTTCTTAAAATGAAAAAAAAAAGGGTAATATAAAATAAAATATAAAATTTGTTATATGGCCACTGAGTCATTTACCAAGTGTGATACCGAGAGGAGAGGTTCACAGAAATTATGTCTGAAACGATCAAGCTTTATAGTCTGTTTTTATCACTAGATGTATTCCATCACACACACACACACACACACACAC